TAAAACGTGTGTAAAATTTAGGATTTAAATATCATATATACATAAATAAATTACCTCTGGGAAATGGTTCTCTTTCCACTAAACTTGCATCTTTGGGCTCGTTGCTAGAGATATGTCATGGAGTGCATGGTTAGAATCACTTGGGCTCCGTTTGTCAAGCTCACTGGAGATCGTCTTGTGAGACTCGAGGTCATCAATCAAGAGGGAAATAAAATTGTTAGGCTCCATCGCTCTTATCTCCTAGTTTGTGTGGGTTGAATCAAACACCTTGCTACTGCTTCGAACGCTATGCTATTGTTGCGTCCTCCTTCTTTGCTTACCAAAGTTCGTGTCTTCTATCTACTTGTGTTCAGAGTCATGTTGTATCTTAGGTGATTTGATTTTATTTTCTCTAGCTAAATTTGCTAAGCAGAAATGGATCTGTTTCCACTTCTACACCTAAATCGAACATTTATTCGACTCGTTTTGGCTTGTGTTGACATGCTTGCCATGCAAACTACACGTTTAGGTCAAAGTCATCTCACGATTGTGAAGCGAAGCAGACCATGGTCGCTCCGCGTTGCATTTTGCTTGAAGTGCACTTTTAAAATCCCTTCCAATATTTATTATATGCTAATTATTTCTTTTTAACATTTTTTAAATTTTTTTATTTTCTATCTATAATTGTTTGTATGTTATAGATAAGATTTCTTGTGGAATCACCATATAATGTTTGTAGTAAAATCCATTTTTTGTTCTAGGTATAAAATCAATATATTTTTCTCTTGATAACTTCTTTTTGAAACCAAGAATTATGATAGTTTCTTAAAATATGTTAATGCAAGTTCATATGCTACTACAATATAATCTACAACATTTTCATCATATTTTCCCTCTTTTTTCAAACCAAATATAAATTCTCTCGTAGCTACTTTATTAGAACCGATATGTCTATTTAAATCATTATCAATTATTGTCCTCTCTTCCACTAAAATATATTATAAGAATTTATTCTTATTTTTTACTAAATTAATTTTGCAAACTATTTTTTATTTGAGCTTGTGAATCCTAAACACTAGCTAGTTTCTTGTTTTAATATTCCACCACATATCCATTATCATCCATTTTCTTTTTTTTTTTTTGTTAAACTTCTAATGTACAATATAGCTGATAACCTTTTTGATTGTTTTTGAATTTTTTTTTATCTAATACTTTCTTGTAGATATGCTTTATTTATTATTCTTCCAATTGTTATTTTTACTTGATGTATCATTAACACATTTTTTTATCAAGAACAAATCTCAATGCATTTTTTATGAATAATTTTTAAAATTCTAATTTAAGATCATCATGGTCCCCCAATTTCAGTAAGTTTATAGTTAAATTGACCGTTTTGAGAAAACAAACCCAATGATAACGAAATTGGTTCAATCAAGCTCAGATCAAGCTATTAAAGTACTTTTGGAGGTTTTGGATGGAATGGTTAAGTACACTCCAAATTCCAAATTCAATTTTTTTTATATTCAAATCGAGCATCTTGACGAATGGAATCTGCCGAGCTTAAGTTCGCTTAATTCCAAGGTCATTACGTCCCTTAAATCATGAAAAAGCTCTCTATGATCAAGGGGAAACAATATGGACCATCCGATCAGGTGGTTAGGGAAGTTATTTACCAAAGACCAAAATGTTCCTACTCTAGAGACTATAAATAAATCCCTCTTCATTTTAGGGCGAAGGGGAAGAGAGAATTCAAAAGCCTATTCTTGGGTAAAGACCTGACGATAACTTCCGTCCTTCGTAGTCGCAGACAACTGTTGACCACCACCCTTCTGCAGTCGTCGACCATTGTCAGTCGTCCTTGCTTGCTGTCGTCAGTGACCCATGCTTGCTAACGTTGCATCCTAAATACATTCCTAATATAAAACACCATATTAAAGACTCGACAATAACTTTTGGTCTTTATAGCCTTCGACCACCATCAACCACCTCCCGTCATCCATAGTCGACAATGGTAGACTGCCCTTGTTCGTCGTCGTCAACGACCCCTTTCTTACTAATGTTGTATCCCAAATACGGCCTTAACATATAACATCATATTGAAAACCTAAAAATAACTTATGGCCTATGTAGTTGCTGACCAATGTAGACCACCACTCATCGGCCATTGTCGGCCTCTTGCTTGCAAACATCGTATCCCAAATACGATTGTAATCAAAGTTATGAAAACCGGTCTGTACATTGAGTTTGAAAAATGAAAGATTCGAGGTTTAATGGTTCAATCGGGGTTGAACCAGATGATGTCATGTATATTTATAATATTTTGATATCATTTAAATAATTGAACAATGATATATTAATGTCATTTTTAATGACTTAGTAAATAATATTTTAATATAAGGCTAAGACTTGAATATTTTTATAATATTCTAGATTAAAATTTAAAACATGATATTTTCTCTATTTCTGGTCATCCTATTAAAATAAAAAGCTGAACTTGGACAATATTTAAAATTTGGACCAGTTCAACAAAGCACCGATTTAACCCGATTATGACTAGTTTATTCTCGTTTCTATGCAGAAACAGTTTTTAGTTTGAACAGAACCAGCTGCCTAACTAACTCATGGTTGAACCAGTCGTTTCAGCCTGGTTTTTAATAACATGGTTGTAACATGTAACAACCATATTAAAGACTTAACGTTAACTTCCAACCTCCATACCCGCTGATCACCGTCAACCAATGCAGACTGTCACTACCTATCGCTGCCGACCATCGACAAGCACTTTTTAGGACCATCGTAGCTAGAATACTCCGGTTGTTCCTAACACCTATATTTTTCCTTGTGCTGTATACCAACAAATGCAGTGCCCAATGTAAAACTATAATCCCTTTCTGAGAGAGGGGGTCTTGTTATTGATTATAACCTTTATGGCCAACTAATACCTTTGCAGTCACTAACTACAATTTATGTAGCCAACTGATGCTATTGTTGTTACTAACGATGATCTATCTATCAACTACTACTATAATTACGACTTTTGTGACCAAATGATGCTATTACAATCACCAACCGCAGCCTATGTGGCCAACTAACGAGATTGCAGTCACCAACTACAGCCTATGTGACAAACTATTGTTGTATTAGCTCTCAACTATGATCCTTGTGGCCAATTAATATTATTGCAGTCTCCAATTACGACCTATATGGTCAACCGACGATATAACAGTTACCAACTACGACTTATATGAACTACTACTATAAACTCCAACTATGAGCTCTTTGACCGACATTACTGTAGTCATCAACTACAGTCTATGCGACCAACTAGTACTGTTACATGTTCAAACTGCGGCCTCTGTGGCCAACTGATACTATTGTAGTCACCGACTACGATCTATGTGACCAACTGATGATGTTGCAATAGTTAACTACGATTTATATGACCAAGTACTATTAGAAATTTCAACTAGAGTCTCTGTGGCCAACTGACCTTGTTGCAGTAGCCAACTACGGTCTATGTGACCAACATACGATGTGCAATCACCTGCTATGACCTATGTGGCCAGCTACAACAGTTACAATTTCCAACTAAGATCTATGTGACCAACAACAAATAACAGTCATCAATTATAGCCTATGTGGCCAACTACAACTGTTACCAACTAATGTCTCTGTAACTAATTAATGTAATTGCAATAACCAACTATAGCCTTTGTGGATAATTGAAGATATTGCAGTCACCAACTATTACTGTTAGATCTTTCAACTACGGTCTTTGTGGCAATTTGAAACTATTAAAATCACCAATTATGACCTTTTTTGTTAACTGGCGTTATTGCAGCTTTCATCCACAACCTTTGTGGCCAACTGCTACTTGTGCAATCTCCAATTACAGTCTTTGTGGCCGACTATTACTGTTATAGTTTTCAACTGCAGCCGTTGTGGCTAACTGTCGCTATTGTAGCCACCGACGACAATATTCATGATCAACTATATTTGCTTGAGCTCGATTGCAACAATTATAGCTTAACTACTGTTGTACATTTGTGTTATCATCATTGCACTTTCATTTTCTCTGATATATGAGAAGAGTGGACTTATGTACATACGAATATATAATGGATTACTCTGATGCTAGGCCTAATGTTTTTTTTCGTTTTCATGGTTTTTCTACATAAAAAATCCCGGCGTCTTCTCCAGGTATTTTTCTATTATCTCTGCGTGTTTTGGATCTTCATGCAATGCTAAGACGTTAAATTATAACTCTTCCTTTTCCAGCACGCAACATTACTAAATCTTTGTTAAATACCAATTGAATAAATAACGGAACTTCCAGATATTACAAATATTTGGAAGCTCTTATTATTGATCATTATCATGTATATTGTTATAATCAGAAATGCTTTAAGCATAGTAAAAGTAGGACCTGTTGCATCTGTGTTTTTGATAATCCAATTTAAGAAAAATACCATTCATTTGAGTTTTTCGAACCTAAATGTCATTTGATTTGTTATCATGAAGCTAAGATTCTTTTTTTTATGCTTATGGTTGGCATTTAAGTACTTTGGAATATTTCTATTTAAAATTCTTTGTGTTAAATTTTGGTAGTTTAATAATGATATCATAATTTTTCCACCATATGTAAATTTGGCTAAACATGCCGAGCTTTTGTGATGAATTTGGCTCTGAGTGATTCAGTGAGCCATTTGGCATAGCTGGTAACGGCTTTCCTGCTCTCCCTTGTTCCATTCTTCTCCACCGCGTTCTTCGTTAGCACCGAACAAATAAATATTCTTCGAGTTTTTTTTTTGACAAAGTTCTAAATGTCTAAGGGACTATATGAAGCTGTTAAATTATATTTCACTAGGATATTGAGTTTAATTGATGCTATCTTATTTTCTTTTTCATTTAGGCCTCCCTCTTTTTGAACCTTTTCTTACTTCTATTTTTGGTTATTGAAACTATAATGATGATTTCTTTTACCAGAACAAAATCTCATGTCTTCATCGTATTGATTTCAGGATGTAACTGCAACAAAAGGAAATGATTTTGAAGATTACTTTCTGAAGAGGGAATTGCTTATGGGTATATATGAGAAAGGATTTGAAAGTCCTTCACCTATTCAAGAAGAAAGCATCCCTATTGCTCTTACCGGAAGGGACATTCTTGCTAGAGCCAAAAATGGGACCGGAAAAACTGCTGCTTTCTGCATTCCAGCATTAGAAAAAATTGATCAGGAAAAGAATGTTATCCAAGGTTTCAATTCTAATTTCATAAATTCATCCAATATTTCATCTCTATTTAAAGTATAGGGGCATTTACATACATAGCACACAGTTCTTATGTATTTGCGTATCTCACACCGAAAGTTCCATATTTACACACTTAGTACTCAAATTGTTAATATCACATAAAAAAATAACACTATTACCACTTTTCAAAAGTGAAATACATATTTTCACGAATAAGTTTAAAATACTAAAATGCTATGTATGTAAAGGTAGAAGTTTAGGCGTGAGATATGTATATACATGAGAATTGTGTGCTACAAATGTAGATTTCCCCATAGTATATGATATTGGTCCAACTGTTTTTAAAATTTCTTTTTGGCAATTTTGTTACGGTTGCTCATATAGGACTTCTAACTTATATAAAAATGTCCTTTTTGTGAATTCTTTTGTTTAATATGCTTATATTGTGCTTCTATTTGACAATTCCTCTCATTGATTGATCGTGAAGAGACTGATTTCCTTAGTTTGAAATGTGCAGTTATCATACTCGTTCCAACCCGTGAATTGGCTCTACAGACATCTCAAGTTTGTAAGGAGCTGTCAAAGCACTTGAAGGTTCAGGTTATGGTAACAACTGGAGGAACGAGCTTAAAAGATGACATCATGCGTCTGTATCAACCCGTCCACTTAATTTCTGGAACACCTGGTCGAATCCTAGATCTTGCGAAGAAGGGTGTTTGTAATTTAAAGGATTGTTCGATGCTCATTATGGACGAGGTATGATAAAAGGGATCTTTTTTTATTAATATTTAATTTGCGCATTTACATACATAGCATTCAATTCTTATGCTTACATATCTCACACTTAAACTTTCAAAATTTATACACATATTAGTCAAATCTTTAGTATCACATAAAAAATACCACTATTATCACTTTTTAAAAGTAAAATCCACATGTTCATTCATAGGCTTAAAGCATGCCATGTATGTAAATATGAAAGTTTAGGTGTGTGGTATCTAAATACATAAGAATTGTGTGCTTCGTATGTAAATTTCCCTTTTTCTCTTTATTTCACTCCATGATTGAACAAAGAGGTTTCAAATTGGCAGCACTCCCTTGCTCTTTATCATGCGTGCATTGGATGACAGCTTCTTCTTCATCATCATCGTCATGTCTTTCTCTCCCCTCCCTCATTTATCATTTTATCCCCTTTTTTTCTATAGTCAAAGGGTGTCATCATTTCAAACATAGGTATTTGAGACGTCAGATTGATCAATGTTTATCATATATTGTTTTTGACCTATTCAAACCTTTTTCAAAAAACATATAGGTGTAAATAATGTTTTGGGAGCCCAAAAATTGAATTTATCAAGTTGCCCTGAATAAGAAAAATATATTAATTGCATCTCTAATATGGCGATTATTCATATTTCTAGAATTGCAAATGATATGTGTTTGGATGCTATACATTTATCATTGCAAGCTGAGATACAAAGGACCTTTGTATGACCCAAAAAAAAGAAGATTGACTTACATACCACTTAATTCTTAGGTATTTACGTATCTAACTCCTAAACTTTAATTTTTACATATATTCTAATAAGGCAAAGTGGAATAGATTAACATATACTAGGCATGAGGCACACAATAACGGTAGGTAAGGTAGTTTGTGTCCTCTAGAAGCTTCACTACCGTGTGTATGTGGGACAGTAATGGATAAATGTGATTTTCTTCTAGGTCTTCTTCTTCTTAATTTCCTTTTGCATACTCTCTCAAGCTTCCTCTTCTTTTTTTCAAGTTCTTCATGGTATTAGAGCCTTGAGCTCAGGCCTATATGAGCTTTTTCTTAAACCTAGGGCATCAATCGGTTCAAAGGGGCTGCGACTTGATTGCACAACCTCTATTTCATCGACTGTCCTACACTAGTAAAGGATCGGCCGACCACTCCTCAATCCAAGCAAACACCGACAACATTAGAGCAGATGCCTACCTTACAAAACACAAAAACTTTGATCCATCAACAATGGAGTTGAATACCTCAATCTCTATCCCACCCTCCCTCAAATTTCTTATGAGTAACATAAAACATCTAACTCAAAACTCACACTCAGTTGAAAATTATTCTTTATGGAAGGCACAAGTTCTCAAGGTGTTCTCAGCCAATGAATTCTTAGCGTTCCTTGATGGCAGCTTTCCTTATCCATCACAATTTGCTAATCCCGCGGCTGATTCTCAGGCTTGCAATCCGCAATATTTTTCTTGGATTTTGATTGTTCAAAACTTTACTGCAACACTTTATTCAGTCATCTCTACACCGATACTTCCTTATGTGCTACACCTTTCAACAACCGCGGAGATTTGGAATACTATTGCTAAAAGGTTGCAACCAACAAATTGCTCGAGAGTCATTTAGTTGAAGAATTCCCTTCATACCATCTCGATGAACAATCAAACTATGGCTCAATACCTATCAAGGGTTAAAGGTCTAGTAGACAACATTGTTGCTGCAGGAGGGAAGCTAGACGCCGAGGATATTATCCTTTATGCACTTAATTGACTTCCGACCACCTGCCAAGGCTTCAGGACGACAATCTGAACTCAACTCCATCCTATAGATATTGACGATTTCTACTCCCTCCTTTGCAGTGGAGATCAATATTGCAACTGACAATTAAAGATCCAATCCTTCTTCCCAGCCACGTCTTGCATTTGCGGCCACAAAGGTTCCCTCGACGACTCTGTCTTGTGGTTGAGGCCGAGAAACAACCTCCAACCGTACCACAGGGGATCGAAAGACACAAAGACCATCAGTCACATGGCAAATCTGTAACAAATTCGGACACTCAGTGGCTTCATATTGGCATCGGTCGAACCTAGACTATGTACCTACCAAGCAAGCCTTGCAAGCAACCACTTCCTCATGGGTACTAGACTCCGAAGCCACCGCACACCTTACATCCAATCTCAATCATCTAAACCTAACAACCTTTGCTACAGGTTTTGAACTGGTCATCGTGGGTACGAGACTATCAGTTCCTGAGCAAACGCCAGAGATGACATCCTTTCTACACCGCACCGTAAGCTTATCCTACCTCAAATCTGGCATGTTCAATCCCTTTCTCACAATCTCTTATCTGTTCACAAGCTAATCACTGATAATAATGTTGCTGTTCTCTTTGCTCTGAATGGCTTTACCATCTTTGACTCTAAGACGAAGGTACCTCTACTTCGGGGAAGCAGTACTGATGGCCTTTATTTGATCTCTCCCATCCTGCTATCTACATACGTCCTCGCTGCCACCACCATGAAGTCTTCTTTTTGGCACATATGTCTTGGACATCCACATTAAGATGTTATTCAACTTATAGTCACCAATTATCCAAACTTAAATGTAGCAAAACTTACATCTGTGTAATAATTGCAGTTGCAACAAGAGTCATAAACGGTTTTTATTTCCTTTTTTACATACACATGCTCCTTTACAGTTACTTCATTCTTATGTATTGGGTCCATCTCCAATATTATCTACTCAATTCTATAAATATTAGCTACTTTTTGTTGATGATTTCTCTCATTTTTGTTGTGTATTTTCTATGCGAACTAAAGCTGAAACTGTGGATGAATGTATCAACTTTATTACAATGTTTCATACTTAAGTTAACACTCTTATTCATATGTTTCGATTTGATGGGGGTGCGGACATAATTTCCTAATGCATAAAGGCATCATTCATCAATTCTCATGCCTTCATACCCCGATGGCCGAATGAAAGCATAGCCACCTCATTTTAACTACAAGAACTCTCCTCCATGATGCCTCCCTACCTCTCACACTATGGGTTGATACACTTCTTGTGGCTCCTATCTTATGAATAGAATGCCATCTCGAATCACCCAACCCAAATCGCCTTACCAACTTCTATACAATCACCCAATCAACTACTCCAATTTCCGTGTTTTTGGCTGTCTATGCTATCCATGGCTAAGGCCACAAACACCACATAAATTAGCTCCTCACTCTCACCCTTGTGTATTCCTTGGCTACTCCTCACATCATAAAGGATATAAGTGTTACCAACCCACCTTAGGCAAACTCTTCATCTCTCGTCACGTTGTGTTCGACGAAAATATTTTTCCATACCAATCTCTTCAACACACCCAACCCTCCCCACTCAACCAGATATGCCAACAAATCTTCTCCTACTCGTCCCTCCACATGTACACTAAACCATGCCAACACACCCTCACCCGCTCCACCTCATGCATCTCCACTACACAAACCTTCCCCATGAACACCTCCTACATGCACACTACCATCCACCTTAACTCAACCCCCCATATCACATCACCATATGATCACCCATAACCACACTGGCAACCTTAAACTGGTCACTAAACTCGATCTCTTCCATCAACTCAAACATCCCTCTGATCCTACAACATCACACAAGCTGCTAAGCAGGCTCACCGACGGTCTGCTATGAATGAGGAGTTCTTTGCTCTTCAAGCTCAGGGTAATTGGGCATTGGTTCTACATCCACCAAATCAATAGATAATTGGTTGTCGATGTACTTATTCCATTCAATACAACTCGCTTGGTACAATTGCCCGATATAAATCCCGCCTTGTGGCGCATGGGTATAATGAAGAATATAGTGTGAATTACTTCGAAACATTTAGTCCTGTGGCGAAGATGACAACACTTTGAGTGCTCTTTACGGTTGCTTGTTATCACAAGTGGCCCATCCTACAATTTGATGTCTCTAACGCTTCTCTACATGGTAAGCTTCTTGATACTGTTTATATCAAAAAATCGTCGAGCCTTGTTGATCCTCAATTCCCAAATCATGTGTGTCTACTCAAGAAGGCCTTGTATGGACTTAAGCAGTCGCCGAGACAATGGTTTGCAACGATCTCTACATTCTTCATCAACGAAGGGTTTCAAATAAGCAAGACGGATCCGTCTATTATCATCTCGTATAATTCTAACCCTCGTTTATATATTCTCCTTTATGTCGATTATATTTTCATTACAAAACAGGACATGGCAGCAATTGAAGCACTCACCACTCGCCTCAGCTCTAAGTTTTAAATCAAACATCTGGGACCAGCATCTTGGTTTCTTGGCATTGTGACTAGGGAAGCTGAGTATATTTTCTTGGATAACAATGCTACCTCACTCAAACACTCTTT